AATTTCATGATGATGGTGATGATGAAGGTGATAGCTCAGAGACCAGTCCTTACACTGCACAAAATTCACTTGTGTATCCAGTGACCGCCCAGGTGGGGGATACGGAGGCCCAGGGCTGCTGGGGAGGTGTGCAAGTCACAGGGCAGAACAACAGAACGGCAGTGTCAGACGCCTGGTCCCCAGCCACCGGGGGAAGAGGGGACACCAATGAGCACAGACTCGGGCTTGGGATTGAGACTCAAAGTGAGAGAGGGCGGGGGAATTTTAAACTGAGTGATATTTTCCCAATAGGTCTGCTCGGATCTTACTGAATTGGAGGTGAGTTTGGGTCTTGCCCTTCCCATGAAGTTGAGTCCCCACGGTTGGGATCAGCCAGGGTACTGGGTCTGGACGTCTGTCTTCCTTCTGACTCCTCTGGACCTGTGGGAGGCCCAGTGGGGCCCACAGACCTCAGCTGCAAGCCCCGTGGGCAGTCTCCACATTCTCTTTCCCCAGAGCACATGCAGTGCAGATGTGGCTGACGCTGTGGATGCTCAAGTTAACAACAACTCCGTGAGTTTGAGCTGACATCTCAGTTCCTCTTGATTCCCTTCCCCACTGGTCTGTCTTGTCATTGGTCCTGCCACAAGTGCACAGAGCTCCCCGGAGCGGGGGTGGGGGAGCCCTGAGAGCTCCGGAGGGGCAGCCTTGGGGCATCAGCCTCCCCAATCAGTGCTCAGTGACCAGAGCCCTACTCCAGGGCAAGGGTCCTCCTTGGGTGTGTGAGTCTGTGTGTGTGTGTGTGTGTGTGTGTGTGTGTGTGTAACAGTTCTTAGTGGTTACAAGGTCAGGACTGACTTTCACTGTTTCCTCCACAGGGAGTCCCACGTAACCTGGCTTCTCTCAGGGCCCAAGTTGTAAGAAGCTCATCTCCACATATAGCTGGGGGCTTGGAGGCCTGGGTTGTGCTGGGTGAAGCTGAGAACATCTGGCTCACTTGGGACCCAGCAGGGAGAAGAACCGAGCTTCTTTTACTCAAGTCCCTCTCTGTTCACAACACGGCCGTGTGGATTATTTCTGCGATATGATGGGAAGTCAACCAGAAAAAGCACAGGTGGGTCAGTGTGGCCCACCCCCGAACCCTCCCCAGGTTGAGGGAGGTCGGGTGGGGTCACAGTCACGGTGATGATGAGGGTCACAGCTCAGCGCCCAGTCCTTACACCGGACAAACACACACCTGTGTGGCAGGTGAGTGCACAGGAAGGGATACGGAGGCCCAGGGATGCTGAGGGAGGTGTCAGGACCACAGAGCAACAAGGGCAGGGCAGGCATGCCAGACGCATGGTCCCCAGGTTGAGGGTTAGTTATTGGGGTGACTGGACAGAGATGAGAACTAGCTGGGGCTTGGGGTTCAGGGTGAAAGTGAGAGAGGGTGGGGGTGTTTCAAACAGAGTGTTTTTTTCCCAACAGATTGAGGCAGCCCTAGAAGAGATGGAAGTAAGTTTGGACCTTGCCCCCTGCTAAGGGTAGTCCTCAGAGTTGGATCAGCCAGGGTGTGGGGTCTGGGGCCCTGGCTCCCTTCAGACTCACCTGGATGCACGGGAGGCGGCAGTGGGGACCCCTGACCTCAGCAGCAAGGCAGGAGTGCAGACTGCACACTTCCTCTCCCCAGGAGGCACTCATGAGGGACATCCTTGAATTCATTGAAGATCCCATTCAAGAGAACCTTCCAGTGAATTGGAGCCACTGTCTCAGTGCCTTCCTTCCTCTCCCTCTGGCCTCTCTTGTCCTTGGTGCTTGCACGTGTGCACAGAGCTCCCTGGAGTGGGAGATGTAGGGGGTCCCTGAAATCTCAGGTGGTGCAGCCTTGCTGGCATCGGCCTCCCCACTCAGCACACGGGGGCCAGAGCCCTGGACTCAGCTTCATGCCTGATGAGCCCCGTGGGCCTGGTGCTGGGTTCAGAGGCCAACCACCTACAGGCAGGTACAACCAAGCATCAGGGTTCTTTTGAGCTGACATCTCAGCTCCTTCTGATCCCCTTCCCCACTGGTCTGTCTTGTCGTTGGTCCTGCCACAAGTGCACAGAGCTCCCCGGAGCGGGGGTGGGGGGCCCTGAGAGCTCCGGAGGGGCAGCCTTGGGGCATCAGCCTCCCCACTCAGTGTTCAGTGACCAGAGCCCTGCCTTCAGCTCCCTGCCTGGGAGCCCCGTGGGCCTCGCGCAGGGTTCAGAGGTCAGCCCACATTCAGGTGCAATAAACCACCAGGGTTTATTATTTGAGGGGAACCAAGAGGCCAGGCTCAGGTTTTGGGAAAAGTCTTTGTGTCTGTGGAGCTGTTGGCAGGAAGGCAGGCAGTTTTCATTCATGGGCTTCTGGGTCCCAGAATCTCCTAAAGGTTGGGAGGCCTCGGCTCGGTCAGGACATTGCCCCATTGCCTCCCATCCCTGCAGGAATCCAGTCCCTTGCTTTGTGAAACACAGCAAGAGTTTCGTCGCAGAGTCTGTGAGCCCTCTGGCTCCTACAGTCCCCCAGGCCCGAACCAGCCCTTTGACTCCTCCACTTCAAGGAGTTGGTACGACTGGATACTTGAGCGATTTTATTATTTTAATTTTTTTTAGTTCTACTAGTTTATTGCTACCAACCCCTTTCCCTCTACCCTCGTGCACACGTGCTCAGTCATGTAACCCCATGGACTACAGCCCGCCAGGCTCCTTTGTCCATGGACGTTTCCATGCAAGAATACTGGAGTGGGTTGCCATTTCCTTCTCCAAGTGAGTTGCCATTTTCTTCTCCATACTTGAGCGATTTAAAGAGCCTCCTGCAGTAACTGCAGCAGACGTTTCGGAAAGCCCTGAACTGGATTAAGCGGATAGCACTGCCTGCCTACCAGGCTTGTGCAAAGCGGCTGAGGCCATCTGGAGGGTGTTGAAGGGTTTTTGTTCCTCTCTGGAGCAGTTCTTCAAGAGCCTCATCCAGGTCTAGAAGCCCCAAGGGGTCCCCAGGGAGCTTGGCCTCATCTAGAAGCCTCGATTTTCCCTTCTCACAGGGCATCTTCTGATGCACCCTTTACCCTCCTGCTCACCCTTGACCCATCCTCGTAGCCTGCCTCACCTCCTCCCCTTCAGGGAGGAGTGCTGCCTCACCTCCTCCCCTTCACGGAGGGCCCCACCCAGCCTGTCTAACTCTCCCCGCCTGGATTCTCCTGAACCAGGTCTGACCTGCCTGCCACTGTAGTGCTGACCTCCTAATAAAAGTCATTTGACCGAAATGGAGCGTCTGTGGGGATGGGAGGCTGGGGGTCCGATGGCTACAGGCAGAGGTGGTGGGTCAGATGGACCCAGGTGGGGGTCCTGGTGCTGAGTGAACAACAAAAGCCACTGGACTCTCTGATCTGTAACTGGGAATGAAGGAGGAAACAGACAGAACAGACTCTGTCTTGAAGGCAGGACTCCATCTTGGGCCAGACTGAGCTGTGCCCAGTATCTATGGAAACAACATAACAACTGGAAAGCCAGACCCTCCCCCCCTCCCCCATGGAAGAGCCCAGGACTCATACCTAGACTCTCCAGTCACCTAAAAGAATACCCTGATTATCTGTGTAACCAAATAGAATCATAAATTCTATTATGCTTATTGGGGTGTGACCACAGGCCTATTGATAATTGTCCACTGTTAACTGCCTGGGCTTAAGGCATACGGGTTTAAGGCATAAGAATCGCAGGTTAACTTTGATTGTATCTTTCTTTTCCTTTGTTCAGACTAGTTTCAGAGAATTTGGGGAGGTGGGTGTGAGCACATACATTTAGGGTATATAAGGTTTTCACAAAAACTGGTCGGGGTCCTTGGCTAAGAGGAGACTCTACCTTGGGCCCGCCAGTGTAATAAGCTGCACTCCACTATCTGCATTATCCTTCTGAGTAAGTTTGTTTCCCAGAACGCGGGTCTACAACAGGAACGCTGGTCGTGGACTGACTGGTGGGGAGGACTGGACCATCACACTCCTGGGGCTCAGGGAGCTCGGGGGAGGGGCTTTAACCCCTCTTGTCTTCTCCTGACCTCTCTCCTGGCCCTCAGTACCCCAGCTGGGTACTGAAGCTCTTTGGTCTTTGGTCTTTTTTCAAGATCAGAGCCCCAGGAGCCAGGGGAGGGGGAGGGAGGGCGCCCAAACCTGGGCCAGGAGGGAAAGCAGGGTAGGAGGGCGGGAGTGGGCCTCTGGGCCTGTGGCCCCCCTCACCTGGGCCTCAAGGCAGAGACTGGGGGGCCCAGGAGCAAGGCCTGAGGGCCAGCCTGGCTCACATCCCCCTCCCCCAGGACACTACCCCACCTCCCCAGCCCTGACTTCCTGCCTCAGGGAGGTACACACAGAGCAGCTTTCAGGGGTTCTCTTTAGCCCAGTCTTCCTCCCAACCCCAAAGGGCTGCACCCCCCAGGTTCAGAGCTCGCCCTCCCAGCTGTGCCCAGGAATCACCTCTACTTTCGCCAGATTCAGGGCCGGTTCTCCTTCAGCCACTTGAGCTCTGGTTGATGGGTTCACTTCCTTTTCACAAGTATTTGCTAAGGAACAGTTACTTGTCAGGTTGATGGAGGGGCAGTAATTTACCAGAAGTCATGTGATTTGAAATCTGTGCACCAGAGGAAGAGGCCAAAGTGGGCCTGATAGGCAGGAAGAAGGTGGGGAAACCTAGAGAGCAGCTTTGGCTTTTTAAGATTATGGGTGGTTGTGCTGTTCTGTGTTTAGTCACTCAGTCATGTCTGACTCTTTGCGACCCCATGGACTGTAGCCTGCCAAGCCCCTCTGTCTATGGGGATTCTCCAGGCAAGAATAATGGAGTGGGTTGCCACGTTCTCCTCCAGGGGATCAAACCCAGGTCTCCTGCTTTGCAGGTGGATTCTTCACCGCCTGAGCCA